TTACTAGCTAACACACTACTAGCTTAAATACCGCATGTAACTTTACTAGCTAACACACTACTAGCTTGAATACTGCATGTAACTTTACTAGCTAACATACTACTAGCTTAAATACCGCATGTAACTTTACTAGCTAACACACTACTAGCTTAAATACTGCATGTAACTTTACTAATTAACACACTACTAGCTTAAATACTGCATGTAACTTTACTAGCCAACACACTACTAGCTTAAATACTGCATGTAACTTTACTAGCTAACACACTACTAGCTTAAATACTGCATGTAACTTTACTAGCTAACACACTAGTAGCTTAAATACCACATGTAACTTTACTAGCTAACATACTACTAGTTTAAATACCGCATGTAACTTTACTAGCTAACACACTACTAGCTTAAATACTGCATGTAACTTTACTAGCTAACAAACTACTAGCTTAAATACCACATGTAATTTAACTAGCTAACATATTGCTAGCTTAAATTACATATGTACCCTAACTTAATTTTTACCCAGAAAAGCTAAAAACACAATATCATCACACAATACCTACAGACAAAAAGTCCCCAAGACAAAAGCTTGATAGCCACAAAAACAGCAACACTCATCCAAAAGAATTAACAAACTAGAGAGCACTCACTCTGAGCCAAGAAAAAATGACTGCACTTATTAGACCCATCCCATAGGCAGCACAGTTTTTGTTCTTTTAGATTGTGTTTGAACTTTGTAAAAGGTTTAATTTAAAGAGAATAGAACAGTTCACAAAATAAACATATTCTGTCTCTCACTGACATCCTACTCACTCCCAATGCTGAACAAGGGATAATCGTATTTATATAGCCACAACTGTTTAATTCTCCATGTCACTCTTTATTTCTCTCCAGGCCCAGACAGCTGTAATCTAGGCAGCGTGGCCAATGGAGGCTGCGAGTACTTGTGTCTTAAGGCTCCGCAGATCACTGAACACTCGCCCAAATACACCTGCGCCTGCCCTGACAGGCAGGACCTGGGGCCCGAGATGAGAGGCTGTGTTCCAGGTGAGCGTGTTTACCCCTTTTAATTGGGTGTATTAAGTAATCAATAGCTCTTAAAGGGATTTATCGGGCAGAGCGCCACAGTGCTTACTCTGGAGATAATCACATTCTGCACCAGTTAAGTAAGCTCTTATTTGCTTTTGTGTTGAGTGTCATCAGAGGGGAACTTTAGGGATTTTGGGCAGTTGCCTAGTGGATTAATGCTGAAAAATGTATATGCAATAATAGCTTGCACTTTTTAGAGACATTTGCTGACAAAACAAATAATACAGAAACACAATAACAGGAAAGAGTGGTAGCAATGCCTTTTTAAGCTAAATAATAAGCCTGTATAAATCTATATTCCTACTTTTGATTAAAAAAAATCTAAATCAAACAACTTTGCCAAAATGCCTAAAAGACTGGGCTCTGGTTTCAGACAGAGGATGAAAAGAGGTGCTAAATATAAATAAAGAGCTTTTTGAACATTAAAGCACACAGTAGAGGCATAGCATAGAAATAAGAACCTGAAAATTAGCTAAATATGTCCTCTTTTATACGTCATCTTTACAATTGTTACCTATTTTTGAAAATATTTGTATTGTTGCTGTCTTTCTGAAGCTCAATTTGCCATATTCACTTTATGCTATACAAGTAGTTTGGGTTTAGAATTGCCTGGTTATAACTGGCTTCATTTAGCACCGAGCTTAGCCAGCAGAACCCATTTAAAAGATGATTTAATATTTTATTTGTAATAATGGATAGTAAATGATTAAATAGGCCCCCTTAAAGCAACATCGAACCTGTAAGCAAAACACATAGTTGCTAAGCAACAATGCAGTGGATACAATGATATGGATCATTATGCAATCTAAGACCACATCTCTGGTTGTATGGCATCGCAGTGGAATATATGATGCTGACAGCTGCTTAAAACAGATCCCAGGACAGTTGTATTCCATGAATGTTCCTGACTGAAAGTTGTCATGGTGATACCAAGGTGGAAATAAAAAAAGGAATGTGAAAATAAATCTTTGCTCGTGATGAATCCAAATAGGTATGATTGTATTATACTACCTAGTGATTATATAACACATTATGCAATATATACATAATATTATAGAGGATTGTCCCGTGTATCTTATTCTAAAGGAAATAAAAAGGAAGCATTGAAGCTCTAGGTCAATAGGTTTTTAGATGTGTCTCATGAGTCATACATCAGTAAATCAGTTTCTCAGCTGAAGGTTTCTATGGTTCCTCTTCCTTCTATGCAGCAGCACCAAGAAACGACACACCAGCATCCTCACCTCCCACTGGATTCACGCCTGGCACCAGAGCAACTGATGTGGAAGACTTCCCCCCTCCCTCAGGTGGAGTGTCGCAGGCCGACGCCACCCCCCACCTGACCACAGCTCCCTCTGGGGGCCCCGAGCCCTTCACACCCCTCTCCACTCTCAAGCCTTTATCGTCACAGGAGTCAAAGGCACTGGGCTCCCACTCCCACTCCACCGCCACCGTGATGGTGATGACCACCACCCCGGGGGGGGACAGCAGCGTCTCGCAACACTGTGAGTGGGCTGTGTAAAGCACTGACACGACAATACAAAGTCCCATCAATTGTTGCGAAAACAGTAGCCGCTTTCACACCAAGCACTTTGCCGTACTTAGTTCCCAGCACTTAGTTCCCCCATGGAACTAAAGAGCAGATCGCATTCACACCGGAATAAGTCCCTGAGGGAAGATTACGCAAATGAAGCCACTGACGTCACTTATTTTTCCTCTGCTTTGGGTGTAATGGCAGGCCGCAAACAACTTCACGGCGTATACTGCCACCCGAAGTCCCCGGTAGAAGCTGCTGGGACTCCCAGCAGCTTCTACTGAAGCCTTCCGAGTAAATCTCCAGAACGCCGACACCTCCTCATCTCCACCGCTCCCATGTTTTCTTTTGTGTTGCCATAAGTTATTCTCTCTCCGTATGTGCGCTGGGCTAATGCTAATAATGCTAATGCCAGCAAATGCTAATGCCAGCAAATACAATACACTTCACAAAACTTTCCCGAGTTTTATGGTTCGTGGTTTACAATTCGCCCAGCCAATCAGAAATTGGAACTTTTCTCCCCAGGAAAGTACCTGCTCTTTAGCAGGGACTGAAAAGGGGGGAAAAGTTCTCATGAACTAAGTTCTCTTTTTGGTGTGAATGCAAAATCCCAGGAACTATCGGAACTAAAAGAGAAAAGTACGGGGAAAAGTACTCCGGTGTGAAAGCGCCTAGTTTTATTAACATTTGAGGAACATTTTTTATACCACCAATATAATAATATAGTTACATTACACATGCAAACAACTTAATATTAATATTCCTAAACATCAATACCTGAAAACTCTTTTATACTAGAAATGCGCACATTTCAAGTCTTGTAAAAGTCAAGGAAAACCTGTTTAATCTGTCATTTCCAAATCATTGTACTATTAATTGAGAACCTGGATATTATCAAGGTACTGTTCAAGTATTTTACAATAATTCAAAGCCCTAACATTTTCAAGGTCATGTTTAAATATCGGAAAATAAGTTTATGATGTAAACGTTTTCCTGGTCATATCAAGATAGAGTACAATAAGTAAGAAACTAAATGTGCGTAATGACAGGCCTATTTGTGAATTCATAATGTTGAAATCCTGAATATGCTGCTTAAAACTCTTTGAATAATAAATAGATATGTAAGAATGTATTCACATCAAATCACATTCTTACCAGCACTTCATGAAATCCAGCACGTTGTGATTCACATTTTTCCTGTGACCTCTGTGCTTCTCCCATTCATGCTTTAACAAAAGACGGTGTCCAATTCTCTGATGAAGGGGCACTTTCACCTGACAACCTCATCTCCTGCAAGCACAACATTCTATAGTCCTATTGACACTCATAGTGTAGCTAACCTCCCCCTCATTGATGACATTAGGTGAGGTATCTACTCGCCCCACCAACCACGCTCCACAGCCTCTAACAGAACTGATGGATGCTACCTTATCGCCTTAGAAATGTCGTCTTTCCTTGGATTAATTGTGCTCTGTGTGGACTCTGGTGTGTTTGTAAGTCTGCGAGGGCATGTGTAACTGCACATAAATAAGTGTGTGAGTAAGTATGTGGTATGTAAATGAGTGTGAGGTTACATAGAAGCCTGATGGAGCATGTATGGATGAAATGCGGAAGGTCAGAGGTAGAGTCAAGGTCACACTGACAAATGCCAAGCAGCTCTTAATTTCCCTCTCCGACTTTCATTTTTATTCCAACCTCTTTTTCATGATCTGTCTCTCGCTCCCACTCCCCGCCTCAGTTTTATCTCCCTCACCTGCTTATCGCTCACTCTATTCCTCACATTTAATATCCCGTTCCTCACTCGTGTCCCCTCTCACTCTGCAGCCTTTTCTGACTCTCTTCCTCTGTTTTCAGCCGGAAGAGAGCATTTCCTCATGGGCGAGAACCTGACAGTGGCTGTTCTGGGACTGGTCATCCCCATCGGTAAGTCCCCGGAAGCCTTCTTTTCTCTGTCTGTCTGTGTGTGTGTGTGTGTGTGTGTGTGTGTGTGTGTGTGTGTGTGTGTGTGTGTGTGTGTGTGTGTGTGTGTGTGTGTGTGTGTGTGTGTGTGTGTGTGTGTGTGTGTGTGTGTGTGTGTGTGTGTGTGTGTAGTGTGTGTGTGTGTGTACGTGTGTGTGTGTGTGTGTGTGTGTGTGTGTGTGTGTGTGTGTGTGTGTCCACATCCACATCCACATCAGAGGCCTGCAGGGCTGCGTAAAGCGGCTGTCTACCTGTGGCCTCAGTGTTTTCAGCCCATTCACACTGACACAGCTCTTCCCTCACTGAGTCATGTTCTGTGCGTCCGACATCGCTGCCACGCTGCATTATTCACACTGTGTTGCTGCGTCGAGTTCTGCTACAGCCAGGCTCTTCATGACCTGTTGTCTTGGTGTTGTTAGCACACTTTTTTGCAGCAAGAAGGCAACAAAATGAAAATAATGTCTCACTGACTGCTTGTTGTATCTAGTCTACGGAAGCCGAGAACTGACCTGCATGAGAAGTTTGTTTTTAACACCGCAATTTCCAAATCACAAGTTAATATTTATTTCATTTTCTCATGATATAGGGTAAATGATGCTGGTTTGAATCATGACTGCTGGAAAGGATTCATTACTGAAACAGAAAATATGGGCATAAATGTGTAATTAATGCCTTGATTTACATTTTTTATATGCATATGTGAAAGTCTTCTCCCTATATGATGAGGACTGTCCTGAATCTGATTTTTAAAAAAGAGGCTTTTCTGCTTGTGCTAAACCTTGATTCAAGTACAATCTGATGCATAAATGTGTAAATCCTTAATAGACACTCCTTGATCCAACATGTCCAGATTAAATTGGCTGCTATTGTTGCCGACGCCAATCTATGTGAGCAAGGCAGTCCTAAACTCTGATGAACTTAAAAGTCATTTGAGGAAACAACCTTTAGTTTTCGGCAGGGTGATTAGCTTGTTATCCAGATATTACAAAGATTGTAAACAAAATAATCAACTTGTGATTTTGAGATAATGGCGTTTAATACAAATTCCAAGCAAGGCCCTTCATACCTTCCGCACAGGCCGTAAAGTTTGTTTTTAAACCAGTCAACCAAAGAACAGTTCATGCAATGAAGGGTAGATATATTAAGGCTGTAGAAAAAGAAAAACATAATTTATGTTTGGAAAATATTGCCCTTGGCTGAAGCAATGAAAAAAAAAGGCAGTATTAGTTTACAGAGACTGTTCTCATTAAATACCTCATAAAGGGAACAGACGAGAAAAAACACAACATATAATCTTTATTGGTGCTTCATTGATGTCATTTAATGATTCATTATTAAATCACAATGGTTATTCAAGAGACATTAGCTAAGGCTGAGTTGCCCAGATTGTGATGTAACAGGATAGTTAAACTTTTTCCTCCCGAAGCAAAGTTTAAAACTAAATTACTGCAAAGCCAGGCCAGTTATAGCGCTCCTAGCCTCTGATAATGTCATCATTTTTTGAAAATAATATAAAATGTGCACTTAACCTGATCACAAATAAATTAAATCCAATTAAGTAATAACATGACCATCAATGTAATGACCGATTGACCAATGACTGATTTCAAAATATATAACTTGTTCCAATCATGTAACTCCTTTTTTGCTGGGTACTTATTTTTAATTGAAAGTCAGTTTTAATAACGTAATACGTTTTTTGATATTAATTACATACGATTTGGTTAACATATTTTATATTTTTAGGCATTCAGGAAATTATCCCATTGGGCGGGAAAGTGCTTTACACAGCTGCTTCAGAGTCTGTCTTTAAAATGTGTTGCTTGGTGTTTGATGTTGCGAAGCCACCCGCACAGAAAACCTTTCTTAACCCCCTACACCTCCCTATATGTGCCTCGCATTCCTTCACCGTCCCCCATTTCACGCCATGGACTGGTTTCATTAACGCTCCCCTTCCCCTGTCCCTGCCGCTGTGTGTTAAACGCATGCAGTTCCTATCGTTGCCACAGTGGTGTTCGGCCTGGTGTGTGCCGGGGTCTACATGGTGTGGCGCAACTGGCGGAGCAACTCCACCAAGAGCATGAACTTCGACAACCCCGTCTACCGCAAGACCACCGGCGAGGGCGAGGAGGACGAGATCCACATTGGGCGGTCGGACGGCATGGGACACCACGTGCACCACCACCCGTACCCGCCAGGAGTCAACATGGGCGTGGTGGGAGCAGGGGGTGGCACTTGCCCGCAGTTCATCGCCCTGCCACTGGGGGGCAGCATGCCCGACCCGGGGACTCACTGGTACACGGAGCAGCCCATGCTCTCCACGGCAAAGTGACCCCCGGGGGCGGACTCAGGGGGAGACGGCCACTCAGGCACACGCACACACAGCGAATCAGGGGGACACGGACTGAGTTTGTAGAAGGTACGAACATCAAGTGTTACGTCCAGACATGTCCTATGCCAAATTCCATTTGAAAAACAGCCAAATTAATGACTGACATGTTTCTTTAAGAAAAATGTTTCATACCTTTCCTGTGCTGGACCAGGATCTACTTTTTTCCGGTAAACACTGAGAATTAATTATTAATGTGTTGTAACGTGAACCCGACATTGACCTGAACTGGAATACGGAGTCAGACTGTTTCATCGTTTTGAGTCTCTTGCATTGGTAAGTGTGCTGTGTGTCGTATATTTTGTGACGTGGCTACTGAGAGGTCCTGTTTTGTGTTTAGTTTTTCTAAATTTGTCTTATTCCTGGTGGACCGCAGAGTTCTTGGAACACCTGTTTAGAAAGGAGAAGCTCTGAAACTGATACAGTATCCGCGTTGATGGGATAATCTGTACAGATTCACGTTAGAATCGATCACAAATGTAATCAACCGTCATTACTGGAGCTGGCTTTTGTCAATTTCCCTGCATGGGTGTCCCTCAATAAGACTTTTTCCATCCTGATTGATTTTAAAGAAAGGTTACCACCCACATTACGGCCTTTCTCTCTGGTTCCAGGGAAAGCTTCTCAAGGGTGATTTGTTATTTCAGAGTGCAGAGAAACCACATTGATTTAAGGGGAAATGTTTTTATTTGACACCCCAGAGTTTTGCGGATTGGAGAGAAGACAAACAGTATTTAGAGAACAGAGAATTTGCGGTTCGAAGGAAAGTGGATTTTTTTTCACGCACAAGTCCTTTCTCATTGTGAGTTATTTATATGTTAAATGGTTTGAGAAAAAGCAATAGACTCCAGCTTTAAGTCAGGCCGCAGCGTTTACGTGGTGGAGAGAAACCCTCGAGAGTTAACACTTTTATTTGATCGCCCGCTTTTGACTGTGACAAAATGCGCACATGAATACACATAGGGCGCAGCGATGGCAAAACCCTGCTGCTCTCCAGAGGATGGAGGCAATGTGCACTCGCCCTCCCAAAACACAAACAGCATGCATAATCGCTCACCAGCTGACAATGCAGCCATTCATTGTCCCAGGCATACACACACACAAATGCACGCACACACTCACAGAAGCACGCTGGTTTTTAAAGCCCGCTCCCCTCCTCCCACTCAGATCTGTGATATCAGAGCAGACAGTTTAGATGGTGCCATGTGGTGGCATGATGAAAAAAGACCTGTCATGTGATGTAGCCGCGGAAAACAAAACATCTGACTGTGATGTAACAAAGGGGAGAAAAGTGTGCTGGTTTAGCTACGTCATTCCCCTATTTATAAACCTTAAAAGTGTGTGTGTGGGTGTGTGTTTGTTCATTATTATGCATGTGAGTGCTAATGTTCATCCCACAGCCATATTTGAACCGTTTTGTATGCTCTCTGTTGCACAACCCTCTTAGAATGCCTTCTGTAATGTGGACTGCATGTAAGGAAACAGTGTGTGAAAGTGTGTGTGGATACACAGGTGTGTAAGTTTATGTGTGTGACAGTGTGTGTATGAGACAGCGTGTGACACTTGAGAAGAGGGTGCTTTTTGATTCATTGATTTGTAAATATGTTTTCATAAGGTTTTTTGATAATGTATTATACAATTATGTAAAAGAAAAAGATGTACATAAGATTTTAGATAAAGTGTCGACAGGTATATTAATTTATTTGTATAACAGCAGAGCACTGCATTCCCTGATTGTAAAGATTTGAATAATCCACCAAAGTGGTTTGTGTTGTTTTCCTTGCCGTGCACCACTTAGCGTCCTTATTTTGTGCAACCCTTCTTTTCTTTGTTGTCCACGTAAAATATGGCGTCCCATTCCCGACAACTTGAGTATTAAGTAGATGATTCATTTTTGTTTATTTGTGCCTTTTGGTTGATTTTTTTGTATTCTCCTGTAGTGTTTTTCAAGATAAAGACAGGGATCAGCCAACTACTGTACATGCAAAGATAAAATGTGTATGAAGATCAAACTGGTTCCACTTTTTGATTTTCTGTAATGGATTACTTTTTAATATCTCTATATATTGATATATAAAATCTGACTGAAAATTTCCTCAATGTGTGATTTTCTTTTTTCCTACAACATATCAAATATGTAACATACATTTCACAAACATTCTGCTCAAAGAAAATGATTCCCTTTCATTGAAGATCTGCTATCTTGAATTTCCTTTTATTTTTCAGTCTTTCATCTGTTGTTTATTTGTAATTCTTTTTAAAACAACGATGTGTCAAATGTGTGTAATGACAATTGTGTGGCAAACTCACAGAGAATTCTTCCCAAGCCTAACCATTCCCCTCACTTGTATGAAGTCTTGAAGCATGTTTTAGCTTGTTTTAGTTTTGCGGCCTGACATTTTTTCTGTTTGATTCCGGTTCACTGCACAAGTTTCTGGACGTTTTTTGGCGAAAAAGCAATGATAAACCAACTGTCAGCATTTCAGTTCTTTGCCAGTACCCTAATGACAGCCATTTAAAGTTAGCGACTACTGTAGCTAACCTCTAAATTAAAACCTGGATGCATTCAGAACACATTTTTCTTTGTGTAAATTGCTCAAATGTAGGCTAATGTCTTCTTTTTCTAACCTTTATTTTACCTGCTATAGGCTGGTTGCCAATTAAGGCTGAAGCAGCAAAACGACTGAATGAATTGCTTATGAATTTGTGTTTTTAATGTTGAAGCGTTTAAGAAGCTGCTCCTACAGCATGTTTAGAGTCCATTCTGACTGAGCTGCTTTATGCATTCATCCACTTACAAAGTGATTCATCAGCAGCCAGGAAAAGTCGTGGTTAAATCCAGTCCATTGTCATTATTAAAGTGAAGCAGGGTAAATGCTTTTTAGCCCTTCATTGTTGTACCAATCCCCATTGGGATCCTGTGTAATAGGTATTTGTTATTCGTCCAGTTGGTTTTGCAGCAGCACAAAAGGTGTCATATGTGTTCACTGAGCACAAAGGCAACGATGAACACAGAGATGGAACACCTTTATTCCCTCTAGCGTGAAGGACTCTTTAGGTGGGGGATGCTGTTTTTACACTAATGCATCTGTAAAACAGGCACATGGCATATATCTACCCATGAATACATATTGTAAACATGCTTTAAAGGGACAGTACTAGGCATGGGCGGTATAATTTTTTTCATACCGTCATACCTTGCTGACATCATACCGTGGTATACGGTATATGACGGTATCAGTCCCAATTTAAGGGGTCATTTCTCCCAAAAAAAAAATGTTTTACTCACTATATCAACAGCCCCACCAAAAATATTTTCCACCAGCCGCCACTGACGGTATGACTTGGGTCGACTTGAGTGAGGTGGCGTTCGGCGGCAAATAGATGTTTCGAACGGTATATTATATGTTCGGTGTAAAATGCAGCCCGAGCCGGTAGACGCTCGCAAAGTGCCGCGACGTGCGCGCAAGGGCTGCATACATGACACATTGTGCAAATGGCACATTTTGAGATCGGATACAGGACGCGTTTGTAGATATCCGACGTTGTTTCCATAGTGAGCTAAGTTAACAATATATCATCATACATAAACATTTTCCGGGAGTAAATACTTGACTTATTGAATAAAGTTTGCTATATTCACTAACTAGTTTGGCAATATTATTCCGTGCATGTGTTAAAAACCTTATTTCCATTTGATTCATTGGATTACTCGCGTGAATGTTTAGCACGTAAATGCTTTCGTTTTTA